GTGAATCCTGGGGGAAATAACCAAGTAGTTACAAGGGTGGGGCAGTGGTGGGTGAGTATTCACTACATCTAAAAAAATCAGCACTGGGTTGTGTCTCAGTGGTAGAGCATTGTCTGGCATGTGTGGGGCCCTGAGCCCAATCCCTATTAATTCACACACACACACACTTGTATACACATACATGCATGCACACACATGCATATAAACACGTATACATGCACACATACATTCACATACATGCACACATGCATACACACATACATGCACTCACACACATATACACATATTCATACATGTACACACATGCATCTATACACATATACATAAACACATACACACATACATGTACATTGTTCACAAATGAATAGAAATCCACCAGCAGATAGATCACTGCCTACCAAGTTACAGTAGCAAGAAGAGACCAATCTCAGAGAAATGGCACCATTAAAGCAATGTCACAGTCCCCAGCTATAAATGTCCTATACTGCCAGCTAACACATGCATTAAAGTACATGTACCTAGTGCCTTCCAATGCACCAAACCAGCTAGCCCAAGTTCCATCCAACAGCCTGGATGAATCCCCACGCAGCACATGGAATAAGGGAGGCCAGTCACTAAAGACAATGCAGATGGTTCCCAGTACCCTTCAGAACAAGGGACAGTTAAATCACAGCTTAAGGACACATCCACATGACCAGATCCATAATAAAAAGTCTAAAATCTCCCTCTCTGCAGCTGGAACGTCCTCAGGTGTGTATGGGAGAGAGTGGGGATCCAGGCTTCAGGGCAACTACACCCCATGCTTGAGTGGATCACTGTGTATTGTTGACAGAACCTGTTCGCTTAACAAGTGTCCTTTAAACAGTGTCTAGATGTTTTCTGTAACGTTCTGGACATAGCATTTAGATATTTTCTAGTTTTAAAAGTTAAAGGGCATGTCCAGGCAACAGAGAGCCATCTGGAGCTAGAATAATGGTCAGAGTTCTAGCTCCTTAGTCTTACAGATGGAAGAACCAAGCCCAGAGAGGTTAGAAGACTCACTCAAGGTCACAGAGCATGCCCCGAATTAAACTCAGACCAGAGTAATTAACACAATTAACTTGCCATCACCCTTCTGAAAGGGAGGGTTGGCCTAGGGACACTGACTTTAAACCCAAGAGTCCCCTTCTCTTCCAGCAAAGAGAAAATGCCCATCACAGAGCTGATTCATATAAGACACGTATAGAAAGACTGGGAATTCTAGGTGCTTTTCAAATGGATGTTTAGAAGGATTTAAATAAACTCTCCAACTCTGAATGATGATGATGATGATGGTGGTGGTGGTGGTGGTGGTGGTGGTGATGATGAGGAGGAGGAGGAAGAGGAGGGAGGAGGAAGGGGAGGAGGTGAAAGAAGGACAGGGGGAGGAGGAAGAGGCGGAAGAGGACAAAGATAACCATTTAGAAGTAAATGCCTCAAATCTCTCACAACTCCTGTCTAGACTCTATTTGGTACTTGGCCTGGGAACCAGGGAGCTTAAAGGGGGGATGGGCTAGGAGATGAAGGATCGGGAGCCAGCAAGTCTGCAAATGTATTGACTCACCCACCTGGCCTAGGTGAAGCCCCTGGGCTGGGACAGTCAGGACAGGAACCTCTGCTATCTTGCTGAGAGCTTTTTTTTTGTTTTGTTTAGAGGTCAATTACTTCCCATTTGGGAGACTTGTGAACATTAAGAGGTGACTGGTGTGATGGCTCTGAAGGTTGCAGATAAGACAGGATTGCTTACAGAGGGGCTCCCTCCCCCGAAAACGCCCAGGAGGATCAGAAGTTCCCAGTGGGGGAACTCACCAAGTGGGCAGACTACAGGGAAGACTGACAGCTGAGAGGTGGGGACCTCCAAGGCTGGCGCTCTCTCTCTCTCTCTCTCTCTCTCTCTCTCTCTCTCTCTCTCTCTCTGTGTGTGTGTGTGTGTGTGTGTGTGTGGTGTGCTTTTCAAAGCATCACTTTTGGGCTCAGTGAGGAGTGGGAGGAGAGAGCTTTCCTTGCTCCCATTTCCTTGTGGAAGAAATCTTTGGTGTCCTGAAAACCCCAGAATTTCTTACTGTCTTCAAGAAAAGGAGTTCCCTCTGGATTGTGTATTAGGTTCTGTCAATGTAGGAGGCTAGGGGTGTCAGGCAGTCTGCAGGGTGTAACAAAAGATTGAATCACGAGGCTGACATGGGGTCAGTGCTGTCCTGGTTATGACATCATCTCTGGTCTGTGTTTGAAAGAAAAGGGAGGTCACTCAGTGGAATGGCAGTGGATTGCCTGTAACTCCCAAACTCCCAAATGCATGCTTTGATTTGTAGCTCAAACTCCTGAGACAGGACTGTGGTTCCAACATTTGAACATCGGGGCCCTTTCCATAGCAATACCCGGGGCCTCTCAGACACACTCGTCAGCAAAAGTCACCCACCTCCTCTCCACAGCCTTCCCTTACATACACAATTGGGCTGGCTCTTCTCTCTGGAGCGTATGTCTGCCCTATCTGAAGCACAGTATACCCCTCACCTTCTGCTTTCATCGCCCTTCCCTAGCCTAGCTAAATAATAAAGCCCTGGAAGGTGGCAGTCAAATTTCATTTGCTCTTGTGCCCCTACCAGGAAGATGACAGTTTCTCAACATGACAGATCTGAGCCTGCTTCTGGCTTTCACTCAGAGAGCCCCCATTCTCTTGGCTTTCTTCCAAAGCTTCCCCTTAGGTGGGGGAGCCTGGCAGTCTAAGTTGGCTTAATCCCAGAGCCAGTACCTATCCATAATGCAGTACACTGTTGCTTCTATGGCTTTTCTAGGCGAGAAGGGCATGAAAGGGCAAGGGAATAGGATTTATTAATTTCTTACTCTGTTCCAAAGACTAAAACATACTATCCTATATATTTGAAGGGGGACCTATTCAAGGGAAGTTGTTTTGTCTTTTTTAAAATTTCTAGATTTTTAAATATTTAGAATTTCTTAGAAAAATTTGATAGGCTTCATTATCAACACTGGACTGAAAGATATCTGTCCTGATCTAAGATCAATAGCCAAATATCTTTTCCTTTGATAAACATGCCCTTCAAAGCAAAAGAGTTAGGAGATACCCTTTGACGACCCTCACAGGGTAAATATTTTAGCTGGAGTCTTTTTCGCCTAAGTTAGAGGAAATCTCTTATAGAGGTTTTTAAATCTGAAATATGTGTGGTACATTTCTTTATTTAGATTGGGCCTTGTGTAATCCACACAGACTTGCTTCAAACCGGAGGATAACCTGGAACTTCTGCCCCTGCTTCCACCTCCAGAGAGCTGGAATTACAAACCTGTGCCTTTGTGCTCAGTTTCTTCATTGATGGGGGATCCAGCTCAGGGCCTCCATATGTGAGGCAAGCAGCATCTAGAGCTATCTCCAGCCATCATAGATACTTTTGCTTTTTAAGTTCCAGAGGTGTCCAATTGGAGGACATTGATGCACTCATAAATATACTTTTATTTTCAGTGAAGAAATGAAAAATAGGAAGAGAACAAAAGGAAGGCAAAAGAAAGTGATACTGGACCACAGAGATGGTTCAGTGGACAGAGGTGTTAGCCACGAAGTCTGGGTTCCATCCCCAAGACCTACAAGGGTCAAAGGAGCAATCCGACTTCTGACTTGTGGTCCTCTGACTCACCACAGGCACCTCCTCCCTCCCCCAATGAATAAATGTAAAAGAGAGAAAATCATATAGTAACTTTAAAGTAGGAGCAGTGGCTTCGGTTTCCCCTAGCTTAGGCAGGTAACTCTGCAGGGGGTGCAAGCTGCCAACAACTGAGCATCTTTCAGAGATCAAACACTCCCCGTACTTTAATGGAAACAGTCTGGGAGTTTGCTCTCCAAAGAAAACTCCAGGGAGTGTTCCTTTTAATTAAATATGGAGACCTGTTCAATAATAAAATTTAACGTTTGATATCAGTTGAAAAGGTAAACGAATTTGGGTTGTCTAAAATGAAATCCAAGGAAGCTGGTGTCTTTTTTTTTTTTTTTTTCTAATCAATGTCTGGCTCCATTTGTCCCACCAAAGCTAAACTACTATTCTCAGTCTTCTGGTTGAATGACTTAAGACTGGGGAGGGGAGTGTAAATTTTGCATGATTTTGGAGATCACACAGTTACAGTTTCTACTATCATTTTAGATTTACCTAGGGGGTGGGGCAGGGCTGTTTTCCTGAGGGGACTTTAAATGTCCCCTAAGAATATCTCTGCAAAGAGAGCAAAACGTGTGAGGAGAAACCTATCTTCAGGGCTGAACTGGTTTTTATCTCCCTAGGTCTATTTTATTTTGCTTTAGATACAGGGTCCCTTTACTTAGCCCAGGTTGGCCTCGAACTCCCCAATTCTCCAGCGTGGGTCTCCTGGGTGCTGGAATTACAGAACTTCTTGAGGGTCTTGGTGGCTCTAACACACATACACACCGAATATAGGTAGCTCATTTACTCGTCTGTCTGTTCCCTATGTAAAATGCAGTCGCGGTGAGTGGAGAGTCTAAATAAAGAGGTCCCTCCTGAAAGCGAGTTCACTGCCAGGGAAAGTGGATGTTCCCAATGGTCCTGATGCTTAAACCTGTAGCAGAGCGTGGCTGGCATTTAAAATCCTTTCTGGCACTTCCAGGACCATCCTCATATCGTCAACGATCTGGCATTTCTTTCTTCTCAACCCTGCAACCCCGCTACCCCCCCCCCCCCCCCGCCGCCGCCCCTGAAGTCGGTCCTTTAAGGAGTGGAAGGTAGGCTGCTGTACTGATTTAGTAGTTCAGAATCACCGGCCTCCATACTTTCAACCACCACCGTGCTATTCTCTCTGCACAGCGTCTGTGCGACTACCCAAAGCGTGGTTACACCTCCGAGGGAAAGCATGTTCTCGAGGTCTTCAGGGGCCGCTCCTCCCGGCAGGGCAGTTCGGTTCCGAGATCAGTAAGGTGGGCAGTGCTTTAGCAGAAAGGGAAGGGTACCAAGCATCAGGCAGTAGGATTTTCACCAGGCTGTGACTCCCTGTACCGTAGCGGGCAAATGGCCCTGCGGGACCGTACTTTGGCCACTTGGGCTGAAACCAGAGCTGGCCAGTGGTGTGAGTGGCCCGGGGCCAGCGCCGGCGCCGGTGTAGCGGCCCGCATAGCTAGCACCATAGGGAGAGCTCGCGTAGCCGCCGAAGCAGGAATAGGGCGCGGTGGCTGCGTAGGGACCCGGGAATGCGGGTGTGTCGGGATCCAGGCAGGGCTTGCCGTCCAGTACCAGTACGGGCACTGCCACCCGGCGCGGTGCTAACGGGTGGCCCGCCAGTTCCAGGGTCTGGTCCTGGCGCTGCCTCTTGCATTTGTAGCGCCGGTTTTGGAACCAAATCTTGACCTGCGTGGACGTGAGCTGCAGCACGCTGGCCAAGTGCTCCCGCTCGGGTGCAGACAGGTATCGCTGCTGCTTGAAGCGCCGCTCCAGGGCCAGCACCTGGGCCTGCGAGAAAAGCACGCGGGGCTTCCGCCGTGGTCGCGTCTTGGTCGGACCCGGGTCGCCTCGGCGCACGTCGTCGCTCAGGTTGCCCACGCCGCGATCCATCATCGGGTTCCCGGCTCCAAGTGAGGAGATAGCGCCCGGGGGAGTCTCTAAAGTCACATGGAAGGAACACCATCAACAGCCAGCCTCAGGCTCAGGTTTTCTCTAGACCGCCCTCTCCCCTCTCCCCGGCTGCTGAGCAACCCTTGGTCCTCCCTCCGGTCGCTACCCTTTCCCGAACGCTCTAGTCCTCCGATCTCTGTGGCCTTTGTAACCACCAGAGCCCGAATAAAGTCTGACATGCTGTCCACCCCGTCTACATTTCGTTTCGCACATAGTAGACTTCGGATCAGGTGTGTTTATTGTCTTCAGTTGTGTCTGGTAGTCCAACAGTGTGAGAAATCTTAAAACGTGAGCGTGCAGGCCTATCAGAATGGGGCTGGATCTCAAACACACTTCACAAACATGATGCTCTTCACTGTGAATTAAGAACAAGGTTATTTCCCGCGCAAATTAAAACTCAGGTATTTCCTGACCCCTACTCTCAGCTTGGAAATAGAGGCTCTCTTTGATATGTGATGTTGAGATCCTTATTTTGTTTTTTTTTGAAAAACAGCCTCTTTCTCCTTTAGGGTCCTTTTGGCAAGCGAGCAGTCTTTGCCCAGCCAGGCTGTGACTACATCCAAGTCCGACTAGATGCAACCTCTCCTCCCCTGCTGCCCGCTTCTCTTGGCTTCTCTCTTCTCTTTCCCTTTGGTCTCCGCGGATAGAGAGGAACTCACAAGGGAGAAATCCAGGGACACAGAAGGGAACGAAGAGAGTGCAAGACAGGCAGAACGTCCTCAAGAGGTTCCTCTGGCTCAGGTTGAGGTCTTGACTCTCAACCCCTAACGCTGCGCACAACCTCTGGGGGAAATGTCTGTTTAAAAAGTTTGAGAGAAAATACCCCCCGCCCCCATATTCGCTTAGAGAAATGAAACGCTCACGTGCACTATTCGTACTAAAGAGTGGAAAAAGAGAGGGTTTGTTTCTTTTTAAAAAATATAAACTGACCTCCAGCAATACTGTAGAATAAGCAAGATTGAACTGCCTCCGCCTCCAGCAAAGGCAGTACTATCCCTTTAAGCTCTGGGTCAGCCTGATCTACATATCCAGTCCCGGGCTAGTAATAGTTTACAAGTCCCCATTAGGAAAAGATCCCCCACACAGGTAAATCCAAAAAGATAGTAGAAACTTTAACTGTGGGATCTTCAAAATTGTGAAAACTATCTCAAACTGAGATCATTCAAGTTGGAACTGAAAATAAGCTCAACTTATTAGTGGGAGCCCTGGGTTGCTTGGGTAGGACAAACGGAGGGAACTGAACAGGAAGGTCGGCTGGCCTCCTTGAATTTCATTTTTAGACAATGAAAATTGCTTCTTTACTTCCCCACACAACAACGGACACATTAAAGGTTAAATTTAAAAAAAACTAAATAAGCAAACAGATAAAAAAGGTGTTAGCACCTTGTGCCCTCTTAGAAACAACTAGAGAGCCCTGAGCCCTGCTTTCAGGAAAGCACAGATTCATATGGGGTTACATGTCTCATGCCTTTCTGGTGAAGCTTACCAGTTGGCCCATTTCCCTGACCAACAGCCCTCAGGGCCAGGCTGGACTGGGACCTGGGTGGCTATCGCAATGGTAGAAGACAGGTTGCCACAGGTTGCCAGTTAAGGAGCACACTGAGTGTGCCTGGGGCTGGGGTTGGGAGAGAAACAGCTTTTTCCAGCAAAGCTAAAAGTAACTCGGCCCAGGGAACTGAATATTTAGTGTCCACTACAGAAAACTCAACAAAATTTAATGTTCTCTTCTGGGGGTCAGGTGATAAACAGCCTCAAGTTAGAGGATAACTCCAAAGACTACCTTTTATTTGGCTAGATTGTTGTCTTGGTTATCTATGATCTGGCTTGGTAGGAGAGACTGGTTGTGCCAAACTATTCCCCTTCCCACCTCGGACTTATGGAAATACTCCCCAGAGCCTGGAGGCTGGGTGAGAGGACAGTCCATTTCATTCTTTCCAATAGCAGGCCTTCCCTGCCTATAAATACCACCTGCATTATTGCAGAAGCTACCAGAACACAAATTCCTTGTGTGCTCCTTCTCTTTCCACAAGCTAAGAATGGGTTCCCAGACCTCTCGGCTTGCATTTTGGACCAGGTTCCAAGATTCTGAAGGGGTGATCTCCCAACTAGGGTCCCATTGATTCTTAAGCACCCTTGGGTCCACTTGGAAAGCAACACACACACACACACACACAAACACACGCACACGGACATGCACACGCACACGCACACACGTTCCTTGTCCCCCATTTCCTCTACAGAAAAATGTGTGTCCAGATAAATCAACATGCCCCAGGATATCTCCTCCAGGAATGTTAGGGCTAGGCAGGTAAGGACAGTGGTGATGAGTGAGGGGACTGGGGGGGGTTCAGAACCTGGCTCCATCGGAACCATGTCTTTGTGTTTAGCAGTGGGGAAATTGTGGGAAGAAACACCCCAAAATTCAAGTCATTAGGAGGCAGGGCTAGGAACAAGGAGGTTGTCTTTTGAACTCCTAAAATGAGGGGTGGTAGGATGAGATCCCAAAAGATGAACTTTCTCCCTCAGTAAAGACCCACTCCTTCAATAACACCTGCAGGAAAGAGTGCTTACTTACGAGGCTCCCTCACAGGATTCGAGTTCATCTCCAGGACTGTCTCCCAGGTGCACCGAAAAGTTACTGCTTGTGCCCTGTCGCCACTCTCTGACCCTCCGGATTCCGGGTTCCTTCTTAGATACTGAGGCTTTACTGGGTTCCTATGCAACCCCCATTGTGACGGGGTCTTGGAGTCGGTTTGCTCGTGCTCCAGCCTGAGGATGTCATCTACCGAGAAAGGGGTGGAGGCCACAGGGCTCGGCAGCATCTCTAGCCGAAGGGGGCGGAGCTGACAAGTTCTCAACCACAGCCAGGTGTCGCGCCCCCAACTTCCCCTTCTGTGGTGCAGTCCTATTCAATTCCAGGATGCTCACTCAAGGTTCTGGACAACGCCTTCCCTTGGTCTTGCCTGCGGGCTGAGGAACCAGGACCGGGTGATAAGATTGCGGTCCTCCATTGGTTCCCACAAAAACCACGTGCTAACCCAGAGCCTTCCTATCCAGAAGCTTGGTAATGTGGGCCCTTCTGTTCGTCCTCAATCCCTCGTCACCTTTTTGGGAGGTTTGGTTCCTACTGACATCTCAAAAGCAAAGACAAAAGAGAAAGGCTTGACCCATATCTCAACAGGGTATTAACAGAGAGCTCCCGAAGGGTCCGGTCTGAGGGGAGCCTGCTAGAAACCTCTACCTGAATAGCACTTGTGGGGGGCATTTTAGGGCAACCAGCCCATCTAGTTTTTCCAGTTAACACTCTCGAGGAAAAGGAGAATAGAAAGCTGGAGAGTCCCCAAGATAAGACAAGTGAGGAGGCTCTCAGCTGGTGCAAGGCTGGGTTTCTTCTCTGGAAATTAGCGACCAACACAGACCAGTATGCGCAGCCGATCTTGTTTGTCACTTAACTGGGAAGAGAAATTGAGGTGCAGAGGCTGTGTTGGGGGAGCTCTGATCATCTTTAAGTATTTCTGGATTGGTTGGGAAATAAGGTGAGCCCCTGCCCCAGAAGTGTAGAGATAGGTTCATTTCATCTCTACCGAGGGATTCTTCCTCCTTTCTCTGCCTTAAAGCTTGAACAAGCGCGTGTAGGTGGGAAGTTTTGCCCAGTCTTAGATCTTCAGAACTGGGACACAGCTCCGGGATAGTGTAGGGTGTCTCCATGGTGTGCGAATGGTTAGGAGCACAGAGGGAGTGAGCAGATATGCATGGCATTTGGTACACAAGGTGTTGAGTTTGGGACAAAGGGCAAATGAACCTCTCCTTTTCATGAGGCTAGGAGAAGCTTCCACTGGAGGGCTAAGACAGCCTGTAAACAAGAATTTTCCGCTGTTGGAGCTCATGCTAATGGGATAAACAAACCGGGTTTTGGTGTTTCATTCCCAAAACAGGATGGAAGGATTTTTTAAAAAAATCGTTTAAAAGAAAAAAAAATCACTAGAGATTTAAGGGAATTTCAGACCAAACGTTTTCTAAATCTTCTCATGAAAATTTAGTAGCTCAAGAGATTTAGATGTTACTTCCTGAACCCTCACTGAAAGGAACTCACCTACCCCTTCTCCAGTTAGAAAGCACAAAAATTTAAGAAATTTATTTCTTGGAAAGTGGGGCTGCAAGTTTGGAAGTGGAGATCAGAGGACCACTTGCCGGTGTCGGTGGATTCCAGGAATCCCATTCGAGCATCTTTATTTAGTCTCTGAACCCTCTCCCAGGTTCAGAGAGCACACAATGTTGAAAAACAAAACCTTCACAATTTCAACAAATTTGATTTTTTTCTCTACTAAGTAATTGTGTAATTATTTCCCACACATATTATGTAATCTTATGATGAAGCTATATGCTTCCATCTCTCTCTCTCTCTTTTTTTTTCCTGGACAGAAAAAAAAATCAGAAGGGTAAGAAAATTGCAGAGGCGGTACTGCTGCTTCTTAGCAAATGTGCCTATAGTGTTTCCCCCAACTGGACCTCAGTACGCCTCACCTTTTGCCCTCAGGGATCTCAAATCTTGTGATAATTTAAACACTTACTTACATTTTATCTTTCTTAATTTTTTTCTGATCAAATGATTAAATACACTCTGAATAAAGTGGAAAATTTGGGGGGAAAAGATTGAAACCTTCCACTCAGAAATAAAATTCATGTGCTTAAATTTACATATTATATTCATTAGTTTTTCTGAGTATGATTCAAAGTAACAATTAGAATGTTCTACATTACAGATGGACCTTAACAGAATGAGTTCATAATTTAGCTAATATTGATTTTTTCCATCATCATTAATAAGGTTTTATCTTCGTAGGAGCTTTATTCCTTTATCCCCTTGCATATTTCCTCGGTATACATATGTAAAGGAAACATTGAAGCATTTTAACTTCTCATTTAAAACTTCTCTGGGGAGAAAACTGTGCTATTGTACCCTCCTCCCAGAGGTGCCAGGAAGGGGAAGGCTAATGGATGTTTACTCAGGCACACCTCAGACAGTCCGAAGAGTACTTGGGATTTTGGAGAGCTGTGGACAAGAGCTGCAATCTGCGGATCAGCAATCAGGGGTTCAGCCGCTCCTGATATGCTGAGCCGCATCCCTGCTTTCCCAGGTCTGAGGTGACCCTAGATAAAACTGTAAAGCCTAGGCTTCCAGGGCTTTGCCAATCAGCAACTAAGATGCACCGTTAGGAAGTCTAGAAGAAAAGCTCCCCGCCCTCCCCGCAGGACTTAATGTTAATAGCCCTAAGTTAAAATACTTTGCCTTCCTGCTTTACAAGGAGCATCACGTGAAATTTGAAACTTGAAAAAGGGTTCTAACCTTTTTCTAGCGGTTCTTAGCCTGTGAGTCGACACCCCCTTGAAGGGTCAAAAAACCTTTCACAGGTGTCGCCTAAGACCACTGAAAACCAGTTATTTAGATTATGGTTCATATAATTATGAAGTAGCAATAAAAGTAAATTTATGGTTGGGGATCACTGCAACAAGAGGAATTGTATTAAAGGGTCAGAACATTAGGAAGGTTGGGAATCACTGTTCTTAAATGATGGAAAACATTCTTATAAGGGAGAGCGCTGTTCAAACTGGGAGTTAAGAGAAAAGACAGGAGGAAAATCTGCAACTCCAGATCCTTACCAGACAAGAGACCAGCCTTGGTGCCGCCCGCCCAGCACAAGAATTTGCAAAGTGGTATTCTGTATTCAGCTCTTCGCCACCGGGGATTTACTGTCTAGTTGTCGATCCCTGTTCTGTCTGGGCAGGAGAATTTGGAGCCCAATTACGGCTGCTTAGTGGCTGACCAAACTCCCAGGGGTGGTGGGTGCAACTGGCCTAGTCCAGAGGTTCTTGGGTAGCATAAACCTGAATGACAGTGCACCAAGGAGAGGGCAATGAAACAGATGTCCTGGCTCATGTGTGGAGATTTAACCTGTATTCTTAAATGGGATGGAATAGCTTTGTCCTAGGAATGAAAACGGATGTAATCGGCTTCATCCAGATCATACAAGCTAAAACTCAAACCAAAGGCTTAGATTAGCTGCGTATTTTGAGTGTGTTCCTGGGCCTTTTCACCCCAACTTGCAAGGAAAACATTATTATTATTATTATTATTATTATTATTATTATTATTATATTATTTGATTGAGTAAATGTCTGGCTATTTTCTCCAGGCTAATCTTGAATTATTGGGCTCAAGAAACTGTACTGCCTTTCTTCCTAGAGTAATTGAGACAGCAGGTGCATGCCCCTGACTGGAATAGAAGACAGAATTTTAAATGAATCCCCAAATGTGTTACTTTGCATAACTGTATGGAATTTGTATATTGAGGCTCTTCTCACCTGTGATTAAAAAGTCCTTTTCAACTCCTTCTTCATTCCCTCCTTCCTTTCCCTTCTTTCTTTTTCTCTCCTATTCCAGGGAATTGAAGCTAAGGCTTAGAACATCCTTTCAAATACAACCCACAAAAGTCAGTTTCTAGTGGTCTTGCTAATACAGGACCAGCCTGGGATTACATGAAACCAATGATTTTTATGCTCTGGGTAGGATCTTGATTGGACTAGATTGCATGTACCTCATGGGTCTGCTCTCAGTGTGTCCTCAGGGTGTAGGCTGGAATTGGCACACTGTAAATACTTGTTGGATAAACACGTCTGCCTTGATTGGCTGGTGACAACTCCTAGGTTTTCCTGCAGAACAGCTCCCCAACTGCAGAGACTAAATTTCTTGAGCTGACTCCCCACTTTTCTATGTATAGTTTCTTTCGCCAAAACCCATTTCCAAATGCTGAAATAACATTATTTTAACAGGTGAAACATTAAAATCATTCTAAAGCCAAAATTGTGCACCAGATTGTCCTGAAAGAAGTAGCAATTCCATTGTCACAGGGGAAGACTTCCTGAGCAGAGCACCAATCAATCATGCAGGCACTAAGATCAACAATTAATAATTGGGACTTCACGAGACTGAAAGCTTCTGTAAGACAAAGGAAACTATCAAAGGAACAAAATGGCAGCCTACAGAATGGGAAAGATCTTCATCAACCCCACACCTGACAGAGGGCTGATAACCAAAGTACATAAAGTGCTCAAGAAACGTCAACAAACCAAATAATCCAATTAAAAATGGAGTACAGTCTAAACATAATTCTTGGCAGAAAAATCTACAATGGCCAAGAAGCACTTAGAGAAATGTTCAACATCTTTAGCCAGCAGGTATGCAAATCAAAGTAACTCTGGGATTCCATCTTACACCCTCCAGAATGGCTAGGATTAAAAACTCAAGCTGACAGCTCATATGGTGAGGATGTGGAGCAAGGGAACACTCCTTCATTGGTGGTGGGGCTGTAAACTTGTACAACCACTTTGGAGATCAATTTGGTAATTCTCAGAAAATTGATCATCAATCTTCCTCCTGGGCATATGCTCAAAGGATTCTCCACCATACCACAAAGACACTTGCCATGTTTATAGCAGCTTTATTCATAATAGTCAGAAACTGGAAACAACCTAGATGTCCCACAACCAAAGAATGGATAAAAAAAAAAAAACCTTACACATATATGCATGCATAACACTTCATTTACACAATAAAGAATTCCTCAGCTGTTAAAAGCAACAACATGAAATTTTCAGGAAAATGGATGGAACTAGGGAACACCCCGAGTGAGGCAACCCAGACAAGACAAACATGGTATGTACTCACTTATAAGTGGATATTAGCTGTAACATAAAGGATAACCATGTTAAAATTCATAGACCTGAAGGAGTAACAAGGAGGGTTCAAAAGAGGCCCATGAAT